TGAGACATAACAAGTGTTGGATTTGTGAATATAATCCTTCACTTATTTCACTGATCAAACAGAGAGCAGTTGGTTTGTAAATTTTGCTTGGTGTAGTTTGGAATTCTTACCAGGTAACATGTAGTGAAGAAAAACCAATCAACAGCACTCATGTGTTTACTTATTGTTCAACTTTTATTATTTTTAAGGGTTTAGGCAACAGAGAATCATAGGTGAGTCCCTTCTTGATTCAAGAAGTTAATAACTACCTTCAACAAAGTTCATTTTGGCAAATTCTTAGGGTTTTGTTTGGTTAGGAGTTCAGCCATGTGTTTAGAAAACAAGGAAGCAATATAGCAAACAAAACCCTAAGAATTTGAGTCATGGATTTACGTTAAATAGGATTTAGTAAATCTGAATTTCCCAAGCCACAGCTTAACAAATCACGTAAATCCGCCCACGAATCGGATTTAATAAATCCTGATTTACATCGAAAAACAGACAGAAGGAGAACATATTCTTTCTAACGGTGCTAATGATTTAAATTTCATTTTCTTTTTTTTTTTGGTTAGATTTACATTAAGTTTATGTTAAGTTTATGACTAAATCATGCTAAATTCATGCTACCAATTTATGCTTTTTTGCTTGTTTCCATGAAGTTGGACCTGTAAAGGCTAATTGTTCTAATCTATAGATAAAATGCATCAGTACAAACTGTGGATAAAAGGAGAGTGGAAAACAAAGAACACCAAAGCCATCCAACTCTTTTTGATTGAGTTTGGCTACAAATAATTCTCTTCATAATTTTAAAATAATCCTAATACATTTGTTCAATATGTTCTGGATTAATTCTTTTCTGAACAACTGTAAATTCATTTTTGGCTTCAATATAACTTACTTTGTTCACATGGGAGCTTACATAGTTTAGCAAGCCTCTTGAATATTCTACAAAACATAGATACTGATACCAAACTTTTTAAAGTATTTCATGCTCTGTTTCTCAGAGAGAGAGTTATCTTATTGCCCTTTTAGTTATCATTTCAGATGTGCAATGTAATTTAGAACTTTTCAGTATGAGATCATTTAGCATTTGAAGAAAGTCTTTGATTTGATAATTTAATATGCATACTCTTCGAGATATTGTTTGTTGTAAAAATTGTAAGAGAAATTTAATATTTATGTTACTCGGACTTGATCAGTCGAAATTAAATGATGAAATAATGAAAAGAGTAAGGCATGGGGCTACTTCATTGGGGGTTAATGTAATAGAAGGTTTCATTTGTTTTACTTGAACTTGATGTGAGAATGTAATGATTTAATTGCAAAGATTAGAAGCAAAAATAGTCTCTATTTTGATGGTGGGAAAATTTGTCACACAAGAAATTAATATTAAAAAATAAATTAAATAATAAATTATTCAAAATAAAAACCTATGTTTCGTTATAAATCAATGATGATAAGCTTGTTCTTATTTTGAATTTTTCCATGATGCTATATAATAACTTCACTACGAATCATGTCAAAAAAAAAATTTTTTTTGTAATATAGGTAATAATCAATCATTGAGTTAGTAATCATCCATTATACTATGCAATCAATATTTAATGATTATTAAATGATATCTCCATAACAATTGGTAAAGACAATTTTATGATAATAAATTTGTGAACTAGTGGATGCACACAATTCTTCCCTAATTTAATAATTGTTTTTGCAAGATCTATAATTATTCTATACATACATACATACATACATACATACATGCATACATACATGCATATATATATAGATAGATAGATAGACACAGACACACACACACACACACAAACACACACTCTTTGTGCAGTTAAATTATTAAATTTGGCCTTAAAATATAAAATCAAAACAATCTTTAAATTTTAAGGCATAAGAAGAAAATTGAGATTTTCAACAAATATAGTATTTTAAATTAATTATACAATTACTTCATATGTGATCAAACAATCAAATACACATTAAAATTTTGTAAATAGCACTAATGTAAATTATTTATTTATTTAATAGTAATTGAAGTGAAATATACAATTTATAGGAATCAAAGTTATAAGTATTAAATTTGGACCATTTAAATTGATTTTGGTTGTTTTGGAGCATAGAGCTAGGCTAGACTCGAGTGAAGCCAAACTCATATTTTCTATTCCTTGAAGTTTAGAGCACAAAGTGTTCTCGCCGAATGGAAACAAAGACAACCCTCCATTGCAATGCTTTCTCTAAACAACAATGGCTTTTTTCCCCATTTACTATCTTTTTTTTTCATTGTGGGAGAGTTTTCATTCTAATTTTTTCTATCTTTTAGAAAATAATTTTAAATGCGAGTCGAGATTACCAAAAACCTTTATGAACGTAGACTTCTCTCAAGTATAACTTATTGTAACCAAGAGATGCATGGAGCAATGACAAACTCTCAATTATTGATAATTTCTCATCAAATTTAATTAAAGAACCTAATTTTGTGTTCTCAAAATAGTTTATTTTTGCTTAGTCTTTGTCAAAATATGTGCCATCCATTTCATCCATCTATCTGATGCTATTGCGATCATGTTATGTAATTTCTTTGTTACATATGTAAGATTATTTATGTGATTCCCATCTTTATTACAAGTAAATGTTGTATATTGTAAGTTGCAATCATAATAAAATTTATGATTTCTGATACCCTTCAAAGTTGAGGATTGATTGACTCATCTTTAACTATATAATCATATCAAAAATCAGTGCTTGTGACTGTCTAAAGGTAAAGAAAAAAGCATGTATCAAAGTTAACCAGTTCATAATAATTAAATAACAAGTGAATAAAGCTTCGTAGATAGTTTAACAATTCAACTGTAATACTCTATATAATGGTATCTTTCTGACTTAAATGATTTAGTTTATATTTTCCAAAACTTATATTTATCAAATTAACTACCATAACATATTTTCTTGGGGTTTGAAGGTCCAAGTATTCTATTAATTACTAATCTAAATGCCCTCGCCCGAAAGCTATAAGAGGCCAACTACCATTTCAAAGTTTCAATCCCTCAATCGATGTTAGTCCGAGAAGTTGGTTGATGAAATGAATCTCTCCTTTATTACTTTCTCCTTTTGCATAAGCTTGTTCATAGAAATTGATTGAAGAGGCTGTAACTTTAAAGTGCTTTGTCCTAAAATCATAGCCTCATCACTTAAAAGTTGAAAATGAGAGATTTGATGTAGCAACTATTCATGATTTTCAAGCATTTTTAAATAGAAGATCTAAAACCTATAAGATTTAAACTATTTATAAAATGAAGTTTGAACTGTTAACATTACATTGATGCAAGCCGAATGAAAAATTGTTAAATTTATGGTGATAAGAGAAAACTAAATGAATGTATGGTTGAATCTATAACACTAATAGAAAAAGGTAAAGAAGGACAAACATTTTTTTCTTACATTGATGAAATATGCAATATAGCATTATTCATCATAACAAAGTGTACTCATACATATTCTAATGTATAAAACTTATTTGGATGGAGAAGCGAAATGTAAGGGGACTTGCATTTCTCCTTCCCTCTAGTTTACAAACCTAGTTGAATAGAGAGATGTAAAATAGAAATTTTAAGAACTTCAGTGAATTTAACGTAGTGTTAAATATAGCTCAACAGAGTTGTTAATAGCATCAAAATTGGCCCACTAGATTATGGCATTATGATTTCTAGTGAAGTGTAGATGGGGGATAGAGATGTTGCCACTTTGGGTGGAGCCGAGATTAGAATAGAGTGGCTTTCTTGTGGCTTGGGGCATAGAGTGAAGGAGCTTGAAGACTCTAGATCAACAAAATGATGAGACAGATAACATGTCTCGATAACTCAAGAATGAGAGATATTCATGGTGTAGACAATGAACCGATAATCTTGGGTTATTCTTGAGGTATTAGAAGGGATTTGGGTGTTTTAAATGTAGATTGAAAATTTGGGGTGTGAGATTTAGAATGTTTATTTGCTATATATGTAGAATCTCCCGCATATTTTGTACTTCGTGTTGTTTATTTTTGGGCATTTCATGTTAGTTAAGCATTCCATCTATTCTCAAGTTATCTTTCTTCCGCTATTTTCATTACTAATTTAATTTAATTTAATTTTTTGAGTTCTATCTATCCCTTGCCCTCTTCTATTAAGAAAAAAAATTTATAATTAGCATTTTTTATTGATGTATAAGAAAACAATGAACATAATAACACCATATTCTATAAATACTTTAGTCCTTTTTTATAAAACATCAAGACCTATGCTATAAATTATTTAGATTTTGTTTGTATCATGTGAAGAAGGCTCTGAATATTATTGATGTTTAAGTAGCTCTAGCCATCCAACAAACAACTTATGTTCCTTATAAATTCAAACAAACAAAACTTACCTTTGATCTTCCGGTTCTCATATGACATTTGAGTGCATTAGTGTTGGACTGTTAAAATAATTAAAGGGCCACAAACAATCATGGTTAGAGAATTGTTCCCAACATATCCAAAGTAAACATTGTGCATCTGATTCGTCTAACCAGCTTTAATCAGAATAATCACTTAGAACCGTTAATTGGGCTAGTGGGACTAGCAGAACTTTCAGGCATTAGATTCTGCAAGTTATATGAGAAGGTAATAACGAGTATAATGTAGGTAGTTACTAATAACTCTATTTGTCTTATCCAAAATTAATCACTAACTAGATCTCTAGATTACCATGGCTTTTAACTCATGCTTTAACTCGAGTATACAGTTAACACTAACTAGCCACATAAAATTGATGCTCAAGTAAATATTTGAAGATTTACTTATGTACCACTTAATTCCTATGTATTTATATGTCTGATATTTAAATTTTATTTTATATATACATGTCACTTTACTTTCAAGATAATGTATATTTCACTTTTAAAATCTAAAATAGCAATATTTTAGACATGATGTAGAGTCATGGATGGCATAAATGTAAAAGAAAAAAGTAAAAATTAGAAATGGGTCGTATGCAGTGTACAATAATCAGTATAGACAACCCAGAGAGTCGAGAAAATATTAGATGCGGAGTCGCATGCATGCGGACTCCTAGTACAATTATACACTGTTGTACACATCTGTATAAAAATGTACAAAAGTATCATACAAGGAGTTCCATGGGTACAGCCGGATTCATGCATGAACAATACAGTAAGGCTGAGCCAGCAACGGGACCTGACCCGCAGTCCCCTTTTTGAGTCCAACTAATACATCACACTTCACATACAACCCAACCAAACCGCTCCTAAACGGTCCGGGCCGATAACTAACCCGGCCCATGATCACCAATTGTAGCGCCACCACACCATAACTCTCATCATTCATCAGCTCCCCCTCCACCTCCGCCGAAACCGGAACTATATCTGCTCCGAACACCGGTGACACGACCACGGTACCTCCCGCTTCCTCGTAAAGAGACGGCAGGGAGGACGATGGAGTGATGGGCTCGTCGCGGTAGGAGAGGTATGCGCAGAGTTTATCAAGTTGAACGGATGCACGGCTATTAGGATTGTGAATGGCGACGGTGAATTGCATGCTAGAGGAAATTGCGATGGCAGGTGCTGCTAAGGTAGTTTTGTTTAAGTGGTAGATGGCGGCGCCGAGCACTGTAAAATGGGGGCGAGAGGGGCGGTAGATGAGATAGAGGACGAGGGCAGTGATGCCGGCGAGGATGAGGAGGGTGGAGAAGGCTGAGCAGAGAAGTTGAAAGTGGCTAGTTGTAGGGTTGGGAGAGAGTGCTTCGTTTTTTGCCATTTGAGTAAAGTTAGGAGAAGGGGGAGTTTGAAAGAGTGTTCTTGATGAATGAATGGAATGGTGTGGTGGGGTTTTAAGGTTTTAAGTGTGGCTTTAAATTTGGTAAAGTGAGAACTTTAGTTGTTCACAAAGTTTGTCTTTTATTATTCCTTTATGCTCTTTCTATTTAGTTCTTGCAAATTTATAGTTGGGACTGGACCAATGGCTCAGCGTAGGGGCGTAAATGAGCCGAATGGAGCTTGAGCCATCTTTAATTTGAGCATGAGCTTGATTAATTTTATTAAATTCGAGTTTGAGCTCGAGCTTAAGCCTACGAAGTCGAGCCGGCTCACGAGACAACTTGTTTATTATAAAAGAGAAAAAATAATATTAATTTAATTAGTGCTATAACAAAATGACAAATAAAATGACCAACTATGAGAGAGCTAAGAAATCATTTAACATGAAATAAAAAATATTATTTTAAAACTTTTTTAACGTTAAATATAAAGCCTTTAAATTTAATATATTTTAAATAAATTTAAAATTATTATTTTCCAAAACGAACCAGCTCACAAGCTAACCAGTCGAGTCAGGACTAGTTCGAGCTTGGCTTGTTAGTTCTTCAAGCTCACTTCATGAGCCACTTATCAAGCAAAGGTCATGCTAGCTCACGAGCCGACTTAACTCACTTACACCCGTAGTTAGGATATATGTTAAAAAGAATAATATAAACCAAAAATATTAGTTTATTTTCTTTTTTGGAATCAATTTTTGCATGTGGAATATATTTCTTCTTTTATGCGATGTTGTATTCACCCTCCAATGAAATTCTTATCTAGTAATTGAAATATAAGTAGGCCATGTTGTGTTTATTTTATTAGTTGTTTTAAATATTGATCTATTATAAAATTAGCTGTATGTGAATATGCACAAAATATAGAAATTTAAGATACAGTATATGATAGATGTTGAAGTTGGTTACAAGAGATTGTACCCTATTCAACCAATGGAAAGAATATGCACACAACTAATGCACAAATTTAATTATAAAGAATATGATGGCTTAGGAAGCATGGACAAGAAGAAAGAAAAATATCTCCCACTTAAAGGTGTTTGGGAGTATTACATATGTGCATGTTCCATGGCAAGGAAGACCAATTTGTATGGCCTAATGTCACAGACAAATAGTCCCACATCGGCTA